ACGTTCCTCAGGAGGAAAACACCGCTAAAAACATCCGCGGAACCAGGCTCGTCTGCCTTGAGCACTCACTCACATGAAACGCTGGTGCTGCTGGTGGCACTTTCAAGGTTTCTTTGGGTGCATGAAAGAACCGTTAACTAACTAGAAAACAAACTGCAAGATAGCTCCTGATGACTGTAATTTTAATTTGTTTCTTTTAATGAATTCCACAACCCACAGATACCGTAAAATGATGAATATAAAATGCTTTTATAAATAAAACCAGCTTGATGTACTTCCACCCAGCAATACATACAAACAGGCCCCCTGTAGACACAGGTTGCCATTCTGTGAATGAAGCCCAAAATTGCCTGTAGTTTGGAAAGGTAGAAACAACCCAACATGCTGCTCTAGAGCTTTGCTGTGCGACTTCTATTATTCAGAGGTTTCCCTCAAAGCAGGAAGCATTTTCTCTCCTGTGCCAAAGAGTTGATGAGTCACGTTTTGTCCACTGAAATCACTGGGCCTCAGGTATGGGGTGAAATTTCTCTCTGCAGAAAGGGCCCTGATAAAAAATCATTATTGTCATCATCAGCCCTCAACAAGATGGTTAGCACTAAAAAAGAGAAGGCAGGCAAGAAATGGTAAACTCAAAGTTAAATTTAGATCACGAGGCAAAATATATTCAGTTTATTACTGTGTGTACTGGGTAAAACGAGAGCGCAGTGTCTTGGTTCATGCAAGGAAAATGTGGTCATTGAAAATGATGTAAGCTTTTCTTTAAATTTAGCCAGGAAAAAAAAAAATAGTGGTGCCAGAAGCGAGCTGTACCCCAATGACTGCAAGTAGATTGAGCGCTAACGCTAAAACTCTGCCTGCAAGCAGAGCATGAATGTGCGGCAGCGCAGGCCTGACAGCCAGCTAGTACCGGGCACCCCATGTAATGCAGTGGCCCAAGCGAAGGCTTCCAGGCCTGCAGCCTCTGGAAAGTGAAGTGAAATACTGCTATTGCTTCTAAGCATTTTATTTTAGCCTGAAGGGAAAGCTGAATTATGTGTTAGGCATGATGAATCTTCCAAAAACATAATTCTGCATAACTATGTCTCCTGCCTGAGATATTAAAACTAATTTAAACTGTGCCCTTTTCTGGAAACAAAAAAATTGTTCATCTTCTCATTTGACAGACTTTAAGCATTTGCTTTGATCCAAATCTTCATCATTTTCACTTTTTCTTTTTTTTTTTTCTGAAAGACAACACAAACTCGGTGACACACACATTGGCATTCAGTGTGCAGATTTCCATGGGAGAGAATTAATTAAAATGGGTTTCACTCATCCATCCATTCATCTGAAAAGCCCTTGTCTGTAGAGAAAGAGGTTTTTTTTTTTTTTAATAGACAGCTGGAGAACAGTTAAGTTAGGCAAAAAAAACTCTCTATTTGTCAGAACTATTCAGACAAAGCGGAAAGAAGGCTGAGCTGGAAACACACGTGAGGCTTTCACTCCCTCTGCTTTACCTGCACCTTCAGAATAATCAGCGTCCTTGAGGGCAGGAGATTGTCCCTGGTGGCTCAGCCACCTTAATTTCAGTTTTTCGCCAAGCTGTGCTGCAGCACAGTCGGCCAAGCCCTGCACCTCAAAAACAGGAAGATGAGCAAGACCAGGAACGCGCTTGAAACCTTGTCGGTGTCGAGGCATTTGGCTCACCCGGCGCCCAACGGGTGAGCTGGGGAGCTGGAAAGTACAGCCCGGGTGCTGCATAAAAGCCACTGTTACTCATCTGTGCCAAAGTTACCCTTTGCTGCTCCTTTCTCATAGTCATGCTGGTTGCAGAGTAATAGTGAGAAGCCGACTGCCGGGGGTGGAAATTGGGCAAAGTCGGCTTGTAAATGGGTGGTGCGTGCGGAGGTGACCCGGAGGTGGGGGCTTCACAGGGAAAGGCCTCGTTTCCTCTCCTTTCCTTAGAGCTGCGCAGCTTTCGAGTGCCGCCGTCGTGGGGATGCTGGCGGGGCTTTCCCAGCGAGCAGCACAGCCTCCCGGCGGCTGCGCCCAGATCCCACGGGTTTCCCACCCTCAGCGCACCCTTGCATCATTCCTGCCCACGTCCAGAACGCCCATGCAGCTGGAGCTGCACCCCGGGAGCAGGGCTCTGCAGCCTGTGTCCTTCCAGCTGCCACCTCCTTCCTCTCCCCAGAGGAAAAGCTGTCCATGCCTAGTGTTATCCACGGGGCCTCTCTTCTTTAAGTAACCAAAGCTCTTGGTTAGAGCAGTTGGAGCCTTGAAATGTTTAATAAGGCTAAGAAATGATTGCTGGCTGCAATATTGAACACTTTGTCCTAAGGGCCAAATATAATATAAAATAACCCCCCAAACTGCTGGCTTTCTAAGCATCTTGGCTTCACCTTTGTCTACAGAAAACCTGAAACAGGATCATCTATTAACTCTGCCTCGGTCCAGCACCATCGCTATGTGCTGAAGGGGCGCAGGGGAGTCACCTCCTGATGGTCTTGCAGCCAACGTTTGGTGCAGAAAGCACAAATAACACACAAAAGTCACCCCGTGATGTGCAGAAATATCCCTGGCAGGAGCAGGGAGGCCGGAGCAGCGCACAGGGTCACACATATCCCACTACGCCTGGCACAGAGCTCGCAGATGGAAAATCTCATCCCTGGCCCACCTGCCCGAGAAAGGACTTTTTTTTTTGCTGAATAGCTCTTTTTGCCCACTAGTAATGCCAATCTGGGTTTTTACCCTTAGTGTGGAATCAAGTTTATTTTTGGAAACTCATTCTACAATTCAAATTTTCTTTTTTTTTCTTTTTTTTTTTTAGCAGTAGTATTTCTAGTTACAATTTAGAGATAGTATTTTCTTTCATCCTGATTAATTTGTTAAATAAATACGCGAATATATCAAGTGCTCTCTCTAAAAAAATACACATACACAAGGAACAACCCGTCAAGCGATAAAACTGCGCTTAGGACAAATACTTACTATATTACATGTATGAAATGGCCATGTAGTTTTGAAAATATAATGAAACTTGATTACAGATAAATCACATGATATAATCTAAAAGAAATCAGCATATACAAAATAAGGCCACTGCCTCTGTAAAGAGAAATTTAGTATTTCCCTATTTAAAAATATAAAGCCCAAGAACATTGCCCATGTTTATATATATTTATATATAGCACATAAGATAAATTAGGAAGGTAGTTTTCTCCATTAAACATCTGAATATGGAGATGAATAACATGCTGCAGTCTTCTTCTAGAAAGATTTAACCTTCAAGATAGGGAGTTAACACCTTTTGATAGAGTTAAATTAGCAATTAAAGAAAGGAATAATCCCTATTCTTGACCTCTATACTTAGCAGAATGAGTATATAATGCCAGTTTTAACACAGCACTCAACAGTTTCTTTTGATTTAAAATGATAAATATAAAAACTTGCTTAAAAATATTACAAGAATGAAATAAAATTCAATGTAAAGTCAACAGACTTCCCCCAGCACATTTCAGTATTAAAATACATGTTGGGGCTGAGAAGTTTGAGCATGGACCACACGTACTGAGAAGGTAAATAGCTATGAACCCTACTGCCTTCAACTTGTCATCTACAGATCATAAGCTATGTAGTTGTCCATAAATGCAACATACTGGCATATAGCAAATTAGAAAGCATCCTCTGTGTTCCTTAGCACTGCAGCTTGTCTTGGGTCCTATTGCCCAGGCATAAATTTCCCCCAGGGAAATTTGCCTGGAGGTACCAGGTCACAGAGCAACTTATAAAACACATGGAAAATTGCTGAAGGGCTGTAACCGAGAAATATAATCAGAACAATCTTGTGCTTTATGGTCCAAAAAGGATCAGTTCAAGCTAATGCTAGCATTTTGCCAGCTGAGTACTCATCTTCCAATTAGCTTGAATGGAGAACCTGAAATAGCTGGCTTTAATAAAACAATTTCAAACGAAGATGCTATAAGCAGTGAACAAGAATATTGCAATAACCCAGCTACAGAATATTCCCCATCCCACTACTAATAGAGACCTTACTGTTTGCAATTGCCTTAAATTGTTTTTCTTACTTTTTTTTTTTGAGGCAGCTCAATTAAAAGATGTCAGTCTCCCGCCACTCCAACATGTTTTCTTAAAAATGGCACAGACTACTGGTAGCAAATAATTTTCTTTCTGATAATACATATCAATAATGCACAGCATCATATTTTAATACAAATACTTTTTCAAAACAGACATATAAAGACACAATAAAAGTATATGACAATGTGGCTGCAGCTATTTTACTATATTACATTCCTGGGAGAGTTTCCTTTAATTTTCTTTGTTCTTTTTTTGTAGAATTTCAACTTCTGCTACCAATAAGCAAGCTGTATTTCTTCTGGTATTTTTAAAAAGCAGAAAGAAATAAGCTGGGCAAAATAAAATTCTTCAGAAGTGACAAGACCATACAAAGGTGAGTTTTAAAATATCAGCACACTGGGGTAACACAATAGTTATAAGGAAAACAAGCCTTCCTAGGCTCAACATAAGGGAGCCTGGAAACAGAGGAAGATTCTTCAGCCCTCTTCTTCAGAAAATAAAATACTGTCATCACATTTGATGATTTCCCATTGTTTGATTTATATATGTGTGATTAAGCCTGGGATCATTCTATTTTATTCATTAGCCTAACTAACCATTTCATTAAAAACATACACAAACAGTGACCGATAAAGGAGGGAGAGCGAACAGCAATGAACACCTCCAAAACTCAAGGATAACTGTACAGATTAAGATAATAAAGTATAGAAGTTTATTATGTATCAGCTCATGTTTCATGTCTTTATTCCCCCTCCCAAGGAGACTTACTGTATGCCCAGACATTTAAAAATAGAGATAAATAAACATCCTTCTGGGTTTTTGTCATTACAGATCAAGTCATAAATTCTCATAAAATGTCATTTTCTGCCTGTTTTGAATGCATCTACCACTCTTTCTGTCTGGAAGGCAGGAGGTTTCTGAAAGGTTCTGAAGTTTTAGAGATTGTAAGGAGGCTTTTATGGTTTTAGCTTCATTTTCACTCTTGACATGTGCTCCTCACTTATTCTTGTACCATGGCAAGTTTAGTACCTTCAATGCCTGTAAGATGGAGTGACTGGATACTCCTGTAGCTCCGCACAGCGAAGATACCACATCTGGGAAAAACGATACAAATTTGTGTCTCTCCTAACAGCAAAGACACAGTAAGTGCACTCCATGTAGGAATTGGGAAATGATAAATGTATGCAACTCTTGGGGGCTTATTTCAGAAAGAAAATGTCAATTTTGCAACTTGGACATGATTTTAAAATAATTAAAAAATGAAGAAAACTTATGTTTAATTATGTCCAAAAGCGATCAGTAGCACAGTGCATCTGTGAACTCCTGTCCAAGTTCTTTGCGATTTTGATTTCCCCAGCTCTGATCTACTTGGTGTCTTGGTGCCATTACACTCCACTCTTCATGTCAAGCTCCTGATGATTTTGCGTTTCATCAAGGGTCAGGAATTCATCACATGCTCCTGTTCGGTCATTTGACTGTTCTTTATGAACCAAGTGCACCATTTCTTGCGATTTGCTGGCTTCTCCGTTCAATCCACCCGTCTTCCTGTCTTCCACTGCCCCTTTGCCATTGTTAATCACTAGCTTTTTCTTCTGCCCGCATCTAGTAAGAAACAAAAAGAAAGTAAGCACCAGAAATGGAGACTAACAGAAATAAAAAATAAAAATTCTAATCCATGTTGAGGAAAAGATGCTCAGCCACGACGACCTAGGTCATTGGTCGTTTATTGGAGCCTTAGCCAGTGCAGATCTAGGCTATGCAAGGTGGGTGGTTTCTCTGGACTGCATATTTCATTGCCAGATGAAGCCACTATTGAACACAGTCACCACAATTTTAGCAGAAGCTGCATATTTCATTGCCAGATGAAGCCAGTCACCACAATTTTAGCAGAAACCCACTGATGTGATCAACAGCTACCTCTACTACAAACAGGACTAGTACACACTACTGAAAGAAAATAGGAACAGCATGGAACTACTGAAAGAAACAATTTGCTAATACTTGAACATCTTCATATTTATGTATTTTGTATATATGCCACTCTAAGGACAAGGGCATGCTAAACCAAATGTTGGGCCAGATCTCTGAATTTTTTTTTTCACATGTCTGGAAGTTTGGGTCAAGGGACCAAGCTGTAGCCTAGTTATAAAAGACCATGTTTTCCTTCTTTGCAACAGCATGTCAGACCCAGAATGCTGCCAACAGCCAGGGAATAAGGCAGGATTAAACTTGCTAATATCAACAGCTTAGATCATTAAGAAGACATTAAGGTAGAGAATAGCTACTGTGCTTTTAAAGTTGCACGCACTCCAGTGCTACCCAATAAACACTATATTTAAACCTTATGGAACAACATGAAATAACTCTTTAAATAGTAGTAATTAAAAAAAAAAGAAAGAGGTAGTTGCATAGCTGTCAGCTGTGCCTCACACTGTTAAGATGGTTCTCTGGCTATACTGTGCTGAATATTTAAGTAGCCTGGTGCAAACTGAATATGTAAAACACAGCTCTCTTCAGAGGGACGCTGCTTTCTGAAGTCGTACTGACTTTGTCTGAAAGACTAATTTGGCAGTTTAATTATACTGTTATCCTTCTGAAGTATTTTTTCCTATGTTTACAGACTGACATGTGACAGTTATTTTAGCCAAAGTAGCTCAATTTGTCAACCTTGTGCCGGTCTCAGGAACGAGACTTGGCACCAGACTGAGGAGCGATCTTCTTTGCGACAACAGGGATAAGTAAATAAATAAACAAATAAAGAAATCAGAGCACACTGAGCCTTGGGCCGCTTCAATTTTTACAGGAAAATTTTAAACCATAGCTATTAAAAAAAAAGGGAAATATTAAAGCCAAGTAATTTGCTGTTCACTGAGAAGAGCTGATTGCTTGGTTGAAATTCCTTAAATCTCCCATGACGTGCTGACCTCGTACTGAGAAAGGCTAAATCTACTGTGTTCTGAATCAAGGCATTAAGTGGCTTGAAGCTAAAGCCTGTTCTGCCTTGGCTCCTTCAGGCTGCCAGAACAAGGAAAGTGAAAAACCTGCAATTAAAAGCAAGCCAAAACATGGATAACTCTCATTTTTTAAATAAAAGAATGCTTAAATTATTCTCTATTTTCTGCTCAGCTATCACTGAAATGCTCAATTATCCTCTTTTTCCAACTTCAAATTCTGTTATAGGACAGTAATAGTGTTAGTTTCACATGCATAATGTTGACTGCACAGCAACTACCTCGCTATGAATTTCAGTGTATTAGCATTAATAGATCAGAATAGATGAACACAGAATCCTTGATTTATCCATGCTATCCTGTATCAAATTATGTTAAAGCGAAATGTAGAAATCCAACACAGAATCCTTGATTTAACCATGCTATCCTGTATCAAATTATGTTGAAGCGAAATGTAGAAATCCATTTGTTTCAAACGTATCAGATTATGTCCCTGCTTCAAAAAATTCGCCTTGCAGTGATTAGTACATATTATTAGGGTCTAATCTGGAAATCTGTACACATACATACACCCACATGCACCTTCTCTCTTTCGGTCTCCCAGCTGCATGAAAGTGCTAAGTAAAGAACAGATTTTCCATTAATGATACCTAGCAGATAACTTATAGCTCTGAGAAGATCACTTCATTTCTCACCAGATGCTCCCTATAGGCAGCCATGCCAGCCCTGCTTGGCTGTTTCCATGGCAATGTTGGGCCGAGAGGGAAGAGACATCGACAGCCTGTGCTTTCATAGACAGAGCAGCATGTCAACCCATGAGGCACACTACTCACACTGTGCATTTCCAGAGCCACTCCACAGAGGGAAAGCTGCAGTTTATGCTGCCTCACCATGTGCTTGATAGCTTATTTTAGCCTGCCTCTAATAGCACTGTCAGAGGAGCGTAGATGTTGTAGACACAGTTGCAGGGACAACATGCCTGGTGGCATCTCACTACCTCCTTTAGTGAGACTGTGCCAGTTTACTCCATCTGACAAGCTGCGTTCAGCTGGGACTTCCTTGCCTCGGAGCAGCGTTGTGTGGTGCAGACTGGGGTGCTCCCTCACTACTGCGAGCAATTTAGCCCAGCACGTCACGACCTGGGGCACCCCGACCCTCTCTCACGAAAGGATTCGTGTGGACTTTCCTGCAACCTGCAGGTAAGTAGTTAATTTGCTCAAGAAGCAGAGAACAACATTATCCACACCGAATGTACTTTAGGAAAGAGTTCAAGTTTAACATTCAAGGCACAATAAGCTGTTTCTGACAATCAAGAAGTGGAGAAGGGAAAGCGCACCCCGAACCTCCTCTTTAGGCTACTTTCCTGCAGATTTCTGGCTAACCTTGCACAGCTTGCTGCACCTTCCCATTCCTCAAGTCTCTCCAGTGGACTAGAGTAACCGCTGTCAGCAAAACTCCCTGTTACCCCCAGCTGAACTCACTCCCCTCAGCCGCCCAGCCCCACAGTTCCTACCACTATGATGGCCGCCTGCGCTACTGCCTATGGCTTGGGAGGAACAAGTCAACCCTACGCCTGCAATTCTCTGATACAGCTCTCAGGCAGCAACTCTATCCCTGGGGTAGTGTCCTTGGTGGTTAATGGCACAGGATTATATTCAGCTCATCCCACATAACATATTTTTCATTCGCAGTGACTAGTACCTAACTATTAATAAGTAATAGTTAATAATTAATTCTCTCCGATCTGTCCACATTCAATTTCCATCTACAAATCAAGACTGAAACATTTCTTTACACAAATATTGCCCCAAGCCTTGAGTTACAGATCTCTCCAGTGGAAACTCTTTGCTGATTTATACTGCTGTAGTCTTGCACGACGCTTTGAAGCCTCTCAAGGAGGAAAGTAAGGGAGCAATGTGTTCAGAGAAAGTAAAGGACTTGCTTACCTTCTCCGACTGTTAACAGCGATGCAGACTGCAAGAATCACAGCCAGTGCCACAAGAGCAGCAACTACAATCAACCAGTCTGTGGATGAGATTAACGGAAGGGAAGGAGACCCCTTAATATATCTCATATGGTTTTGTCATTTTGCAGAACTGCAAGCACACAAACCCTTTTGCGTTCATTTATACTGCCATTTTTTTTTCACCTAACTTTCATGATTGTTCATTTTACAAAGTGCTTCTGTGCATAGCAAACACTTTATCATCAATCACGCTGAATACTCTATTAAAAAAAAAAAGCATTCAGCTGCAGGCAGGCCAACGCAGATGAAACACTTGATCATTCTTAATGCTTGCAAGTACTGCACTTTGGTCAGGGTAGGTGAAAAAGAGTTGTATCACTGATTTATTCCAAGCTAGGACAGGCTAAGTACTGAGACATCTGTAATCTTGGATTCAAAAGTAGGGTGACTTTGACATAAAGTGACATGTCTACCTTCATTTTTTTAAAGTCTTATTTTAGACTTGAGAGCAATTCCTGAAAAATAAGAATTACAAAATCATAATAAAGAATTAAAACTGGAAGAGACCTAAGAAGTCACATCACTCATTTCTCACTCCAGTGAAGCAGGAGTGAGAATATCCTTGAGAAATGTTTCACTTGCTCTCAAAATTTTGAATAAAGGACCTTCCCAGTAGTCTATTCTTTATACTTTACTGCCATGACAGACAAGAGCTCTTCTCCTAATAGCTAACCCCATTTTCTTTTTCATTTGAAATAAGTTTCATTGCACGAGTCTACCATGTTTCACATGAAACAAATTACCTCTTTTAATTGTTCAGTTACTGTTATTCCATGGTAAAAACTTGTATGCATTCTTTTTGCAGCATACTGATCTCACATCTACTTTGAGTTACTTTTATGGCATCCTCTACTTTTCCTATTTCATCAATGAAAGGCAAAGTTTTGAAATGAACATGGTACTTTGGCCCCAGATTTGCCAGGCCTAAGAAAAGTGTGTCTTACAAACAGCATTACTGTTAATATATCCCTGATCATTTATTTTATTTTATTTTGTAATAGCATCATGAGTTTGGGTTATTTCTATTCCATTTTAAACTGCAGATCTTATTCTGTAATACTGGTGTTTCAGCTATTATTTTCACTGAACATTCTCATACATATGACACCGCATATATCTTTACTGAATTTCGTCTACTTGATTTCAGATCAATTTATCAAAATTATTTAATTCTTAATACTTTTCTTCAAAAAAATCTCTTCTCTTTCATCTTCACATAAGTGGGAAGTTTTATGAGTTACAATATGCTCCATTCTTGAGATTACTAGTGAAAATTTATATTTGACCTAAATTTTCATCTCTTGCTTCAGTTTGTATTACCATTATTCTACGTTTAAGCAATAAAAAGAAATGAAAAGCTAGAAAAAAAAGAAAAAGTTTACTTACCTGGTATCCCACCTGATCTTAGTTGTGAACCTGTTGTTGTTGTGGTCTGTCCAGGGAAAGTAGTGGATTCATGATCTCCCATATGTGGTCCTTTATTACCATATATACTGGATGTAGATCCTAAAGAAAAAAATATCCATTAGGCCCAATATGTCTAATGAGTACTGAACAGTAAAGTACATAGAGTATAACGTAAGGAATTTAAAATATTATTAAATAACAAAAGATATTTATAGGAAGTTCACACTGAGGTCATTAGCAAGTATTTTAATGAAAACTTTTGCATATACTACATTCATCATACTCATACTATCGTTCCTTTTAGCACTTTGAATAAAAAAAATAATAGTTTTCCCCTCTCGTGCTTTTCATTTTTAGCAAAGATATAATGTGATTAGATCACCAAAATGTGATTAGAACTGCCTAGAAATTTTGTAAGGACATCTGAACTTTGGCGGACTTTTTTTTAAAGAACTTTTTCATATATGTGATCAATGTCTTGCCTTTTGCATGGGAGGTGGAGAACAGAGAGAACAGGGAGGGCAAGAGAGGGAGAGGGAGAGGGAGAGAAGGAGAGAGGGAGAGGGAAAAAGAGAGAGAGAGAGAAGAAAATATTTTAAAACCTAGAAAAGATCAATCTAGAGATTTTTAAAATTTTACTTCTATTCCTACACAGCATAAAGCTGCATTTCTAAAACTTCAATGTGCTTATAAGAAAAAAAAAAGTGTAGTTCTTTCGATAGTTTTAAATTTGATAGCCATGTACATGAACCAGACTTTGAAAAAATCAAAATATGTTTTCTTACAGCAAAAAGTACTCTCTGTAAACTTGCATGTGGATCGCTCTTCCTTTATTAATGTGTTATGTAATTTGATTCTAAAATCTTAAATCCAAATGCACACTTCCAGTGTCAGTTTTTCTGCTATGATGGCCCTTAAACTTTAATGTGATTACAGTAATAAATCTGCTCCCATGTAGATATTCTGGATCCCAAGTGAAACTACTCTGATTATCTTTATTGCCACTACACAAACCATATTGCAGTTCTCCATCTCTCTGAGTTCTTCCAGAGTCTGATAGAGCAAATTAAGTACTTTGCTCAAAAGTAATGTTCTTTTTCTTGCTCTTTAACACATATTGCAACTGTAGTCTGCACCTCTGATCTCATTTCCTAATAGCAGTTGACAAATGCAGAATTAAGCAGCGCATTTTTCCTGATGCTAACGTTAGCCAACGAGTACTTCAGAATCTTCCAGATGTTTTCCTTTTTTTTATTAACAAGAAACATATCGAGTGATGAGTTGTTTTGTGCTATCTCACCACTAATTTCAGCAACTAAGTGATCTGAGCTGGACTCTGAGGCCTCTAAGAAAGCTGGCCAAGATGAAAATACAGACTTGTCTACCCCACACAGTGCATTTTCAAGGTGCTTTACATCATCCTTGAGAAATTACAGAGCTTCTCCAACTGCAGATCCCCTTAGATAGTTACGTAGACGTTGATTAACAATCCTCACGCTAACACAACTGCTGTCTCCTCACTCTTCTCCCCTCCACTGAGACAGGATGCACTTATGTCCCCTCATGTTCTTAGCTGGGGGATGTGCTTGCAGGAGGCAACAAGGGACCCTAAGAAACTTAAAACTCCATTTTGAAGATACGTTATTGTTTTTTTCTTCTTTTTGACAGTTACATTTTGGGTTCCTTCAGTGGATCCATTCTTTATTCCACTGGGATACTTGGACAGAAGATCAGTCATTAATGTGTTGTCAGGCCCCAGCTTAAGCACTGCAGTACAGAAAAAGCAAGTGAAAGAAAGCAGGGTACTACAGTGAGCAATTCGTCTGTCCAGAGAAGGCCTTTAACTATAGTCTGACAATACACTAGTGCTTCTCTCACATTACATTAGAACACTTTCACATCACAAAAGATCCCTCAGTAAACAAACACTTTCCATCATGATGGTGTTGTCCTCAATATTTCCTTGTATTGTGATTTTAAAAATCCCCAACAGAAGATAAAGAAAAAAAATGGAAGAGTTATGAGCCTTTGCCAGGGCATTGACAACGCAGAGATTCTACACAGATATTCACCTTGCAAAAGATCTTCTAACCAGTTCTTACAGGTTTTATATGCTTAAGAGAGAAAGGTAACTAACATTTTTTCATAGTGTGTAATGTCTGCACAGTAAATTAGGGAGACTGCTTGGACTCATTAAGTGAATAGGGAAATGAAAGTCAATAAACGAGCTTGTTGTAGCAAGAAACAATTATTAAAATAGATTGAACTTTGCAATAAAATTGTATCAATTTATGCATTTGATGCAAATGCCAAATGCATTTATATTGCTGTGCCTACATTAAAATACTGCAAGTCAGGCATTTTGATTGGGTATATTTTATTGATTTATATAAAATTATGAAGTAAAATGTAGACCAAATTCTACCTTATGATGTATGAGCTAACATTAATTAATATTAATTAAAAGAGAATCCACCAAATTTAGTGGAGCTATGCCAAGAAAAAAGTGAAAAGGGAATGTAGACAAGCAGAGAAATATTTCTTCACTATGACAACAAATATCCTCTTTAATTTAAATCTGTCAAAAGTAATGTGATCACTGAATACAAATTGTAATTCCTAACTAATAATAATAATAATGAAAGAATGATCTTTAAAGTGTTTACTTTGTAATGTTATAAATACATAGGTACAAAAATAAATAAATAAATAAAAACACAGAGCCTTGACAAAAATCTCCCCTGGCATAGTTCCACTAACTTCCAGGAAAGTACATAAAAATAGTATATGGAAAAAAAATACTTTTGGGAAGATGATTTGTACAAAAAATACATTTAGGAATAAGGGAAAGTCCCTTCATTTCCCATATTAACTTGTGACCACGAGGAAGCAGGATATTGTAGTGTGATAAATAAACATTATTACTGTTAACTATATTAACTTAAAAGAAAATGAAAGTACTCTTCACAAAAAGATGCTGTTCATAAATGTTTGTTAGAGACCAGAAAAAATAGTTATCATTAATCACTGGCAAGATACCAGCAGCAAATATACGTAGAGAAAAAGGCCATAAAGAGAATTACCTTCTGTTATATAGGTTTACCTTATACAGAAGAAATGTGGATGGAGGAAAAAGTGACATTAAGTGTTACATAGATGGCATTTGTGGCCATCAAACAGAAAGATAAAGTACTAACATGTCTTGGTGGACAAACTTTAGAAGCGCTTTCTAAGTTTTTGGTAGTGTAATATAATAAACATAATATTAACACATAAACATAGCACAATCTAGGAAGAGGTTATTCACAAAACACCACTTTTCAGTCTTTTGACCAAACTTAACTCTGGGATAGATAAAAGCTTACCTCAAAAGGCACCTAAGAATCATATGCATACACATGTCTAGAAATGCCAAGAAGAAAAATAAAAAGTAATATATATAACATTAGTCTAATCAAAGAAAATAAAAGATAAATATTTTCAGAATATCATCAGTCCAAAAAAATAACTAAATGATCAATAAAAGACTGCTTGTAAGTCGTCGTTCTTACTGGTAGGAGGAGGGGTGTGTAATCGGTTAAGATGATCCTGACTGTCTGGAAAAACTCCGGGTATGAAATTGAGATGGGAATCATCCGTAGTAGTGGCTTGTTCACCTTCCCTTCCAGGTTGAGTGCCAGGTAACAGTGGCTCTTGGGTTCCTTCTTCTTGGCTGACAACGTCTGTGGACTCCGTGGCTGTCGTGATGATGGCGCGGTCAGCTTTAAACTCAAACCTCACACAACCACCACCTGCATCATCATTTCCCCCTTTCCCATTCCACAACAAGCCAGAGAATAGCTCCTCCTGCCTGATTTAAAGCACAGGAGGAAAGAAGAGGTGAAAGCCTTCCCTTCTTCCACCACTGTCACTGCCTTCTAAGACTCTTAACCAACACACACGTGCCACGTTTGATGGGCGTTGGTTAACGTGCACATTTCCCAGTGACAGAAGGAGAGGAAAGACTTCAGAAGAAGTGATCACAGAAGGAAAAAAAAAAAAAAGAAGATGACTGTAACTCAAGAGGCAGCAGCCACATCACAGCCAAAACTATGATGATCTGGCATGTCTTTTTACCAGCAAGGAGGAGAAAGGAACCAAACACAGAATTTGTGGGATGTAATTCTTCTCTCATTGCTCTTCCCTCACCACCAGGACACCATTGACTAGTGATGGTGCTGCTGCTGAGTCACGGGATCAGGCCATCAGACAAAGTCCTCCAGAGCACCTCCAGCACACCAGTCACGGCACCAGGAAGCATACCCAGCCTGAGCACAGGCCTAAGCGGACGCGGCTAGGAATTCAGAATCACCAAAGAGCATGCCTTGTAGAACAGTTAGAAGGCCACCGAGATTCATGCTGCAGCAAAGATCAGAAACCACCAAATGTACCAGGAAAGGTTCCCTTACACCCACTCCAGAAGTTCAGAATATTAACAATTGTCCAGATCCCACCAGATTGAGGGTTTTGCAATGCAAGTCCACAGTGAGAATGTTGTATCCGCCACGACAAGAAGGACAGCAAGAGGAGTTGAATTCAGAAGAAATAATGTCTCATTTCACACAGAGCAATGAAATGAGTTTGACCCATTATTCTTACTGGTACCCGTCAGTGGAGATTCGCCATCAGGTTCATTCCTACTAGCAGGATTCAGCCCAAGTAGCACCTCATCCCCAGGGGTGTTTGTGGCATGAGTGACACCTGCAGTGCCCTGTCCATGTTCGTTATCTGAAGGCAGAGGTGGCTGAGTTGGGTCTTCTTGATGGGCACCATCAGGAGAGGTAGCTGCTGTTATGGAGATGCTAGGTACCCATGGTTCTTGAGTCATTTCTTCCCCTTTGGGAATATCAGTGGATGCTGTGACTGCTGTGACAATGGCTAAGTTAACTTCAAATATGTTTACAAAATCCCACCCACATTATTTTTGTCTAATTTGTCTATCAGACACTGTCTTTTTCTTTTCTTGCCTATGTATAAACTATCAGAAAAAATACCAAGCAAACTAGATCTTCTGTATCTGTCAGATTACATTTGCTTTCTTCATTCCTTCACTAATTGTCTGTCAATTACTCTAGGAGTTTCTGATTAATGTCCTAGATCTCAGGAAGAATTGAAATATATAAAAACTGCAAAAAATAAATAGCAGTCATCTAGATCTGACTACTTAATACTGCCTATATCACCATGATAAGAAAAAAAACTTTTATCACATTATTTATTCATGCATCCATTCTTTCCCATGAGATTACTGTAAGAATCTATACTAGTCTCCCAACAGAAAAATTCAAAGTGAATTCATATGGAAAATTAAGGAATGAAATTATTTTATGAACTTCCTTCCCACATCATTCATGCAGTGCTCTTTTATAAGGACTGCAGCTCATACAAAAGAGGAAGGATGTCATAAACATTCCAAGAAACAGCACAAGTTTATTGAATGGAATTTCAGAATTCCCAACCACTATAAAATACGAAGTGAGTAAAATGGACTGAAATTTAACACCATAAGCAAAATGAGAAACCAAAAGATACATTTCCAAAGAACAGTAGCCTAAAGTGTTACCTTCCAAAACATCCAATAAATACTATTCAGCAGGGGAAAATGATATTATTTCAGAATGAATATTAGATTTTCTATCATTACACAGGAATAAATTTAGAATAATCTAACTGAAAATATTTTAATATATTGTGAAATCTTATTTGGATTTTCACATTCTCAGTTGACCTGTCAAATCAAATAAAGCTTAAAAGGTTTATGGCAATAAATTCTGAGGCTTTATGTCTGCCATATTTAGAATATTAAGAATAGGAAGCGAGAAAGAACTATCTTAATCTGCACAGTTCTTAGTTTTCATCACTCTTGAAAACCCCAAGTGATGTGTTTTAAGGTAATCCTGGAGAAAAATGGATTTTTTGGAAGTAAGGAGAAAGCACAAATATTAATTTTTTCTTAGGAACAGATTTTTGGAAAATCAAAAAGATTCTGAAATGTCCAAAGCGCTGATATATCATGAGAGTTCCATTTTAAATTATGAAATATTGGAGAAGAAATGCAATATTTATATTCTGCATAATTTAGATAGGATAAAATACAGGAATCATAAGTTCTTAAGTTCAAACTTTACAGAACTAGCTCAACGAAATGGAGAAACAAGTAATTTTATAGTTTTACAGTCTTAAGAGCATCCATGGAAAACTCAAGTCCTGCTAATATTTGTTATGAATATTGATTTAAAATCTATGACTCATTTACTACTTCTCATTTAGAAAAAAAAAAAATAGGAATTGCTATTTTCCCAGTACCACCTTCTGTTAATCATAAACATGAGAAAAAATGGGGTGCATATGAAAAGTTAGATCCAGAAAAAAACTACTACTAACTAACAGGAACTCTTGCTGAGATGATCACTTGCAACAAAATCATAAACCACTGGTTGCAATGGAAGTCTACAACAAGAATACTGTGTTCCCCAAGGCAAGAAAAATAGTGAGAGGAGTTGAATTCAGAAGAAATAATGTCTCATTTCACACAGAGCAGTGAAATGAGTTTGACCCATTATTCTTACTGGTACCCGTCAGTGGAGATTCGCCATCAGGTTCATTCCTACTAGCAGGATTCAGCCCAAGTAGCACCTCATCCCCAGGGGTGTTTGTGGCATGAGTGACACCTGCAGTGCCCTGTCCGTGTTCATTATCTGAAGGCAGAGGTGGCTGAGTTGGGTCTTCTTGATGGGCACCATCGGGAGAGGTAGCCGCTGTTACGATGATGATTTAATCAGCTGTGAAATCAATGTATATGCTACCAATACCCTCCCATTCCATTTCTGTCATCTTTGGGTCTCCTGTTGCTCTTAAATGAGAATACTTTTCACTACCACTCTTTTATTACCAGCAAAGGCAGACCCTTCCAGTCACCCACATATCATCACTGCCTTCTTAACTTTTTAATCAGTAACTTTCCTACATTATTTTTATCCACTTTGTGGCCTAGTCCACAAGTTTCCCAAGGTCAGTGGACATCAGAAACATAGGAAAAGGACAGTAAGAAGACAGGGGAGCTCCCTGACCTGCATCACAGGCTGTCCAGAACTCCAAAACTTCAGTGCCACTGTCAAGCACTGTGGCAACCTGCTCTGCATTATAGATATCATTACAAATGGTAAATAATCCTTTCATCAATCACTGATGTCCCTTTGTCACTCAAATCCATGTGAATAGTAACAAATAAGATACAATTATTGCAATTTCTTGTTCTTACTCGTAGGAGGAGGGGTGTGTAATCGGTTAGGATGATCCTGACTGTCTGGAAAAACTCCGGGTATGAAATTGAGATGGGAATCATCCGTAGTAGTGGCTTGTTCACCTTCCCTTCCAGGTTGAGTGCCAGGTAACAGTGGCTCTTGGGTTCCTTCTTCTTGGCTGACAACGTCTGTGGACTCCGTGGCTGTCGTGATGATGGCGCGGTCAGCTTTAAACTCAAACCTCACACAACCACCACCTGCATCATCATTTCCCCCTTTCCCATTCCACAACAAGCCAGAGAACAGCTCCTCCTGCCCGATTTAAAGCACAGCAGGAAAGAAGAGGTGAAAGCCTTCCCTTCTTCCACCACTGTCACTGCCTTCTAAGACTCTTAACCAACACACACGTGCCACGTTTGATGGGCGTTGGTTAACGTGCACATTTCCCAGTGACAGAAGGAGAGGAAAGACTTCAGAAGAAGTGATCACAGAAGGAAAAAAAAAAAAAAAAAAATGACTGTAAACCACAGGGCCACAAGCCAATCA